GTTCTATCTTTCTCTGCACACTCTCCTGGACCTCATCATTCCACTATCAGGTCTCTTTGTCCTCCTTTCTCTGCCTAGAGAACATACCTAACACCTTCCTACCTGTCTCCCTAAGGTCCAGGAGAGTGTCATCACTCCTTCTATTTCTACCTTCACACACATTTCTTGCATATTCTTCCTTTAGGATCACCCCTACTCCATTTCTCTTCCAATCTGAACCATGATGAAACAGTTTGTAGCCTCCTTCAATGTTTCTAGCCTTGCTGCCCTTCCACCTGGTCTCCTGCTACTAAATGTCTATTCTTCTTCTCTCCATCATATCAGCCAGTTCTCTACTTTTCCCTGTAATTGTACCTATATTCAGAGTTCCAAACTTCAGAACAACACTTCTATTTTTCCTCTTTTCTCTTTTTGTCCGAATCAATTGTCCTCCTCTTCTTCTCTGTCTCTGACTCTGACCAACAGTAGTCCAATTTCCACCAGTACCCTGTTGGTCAACAGCACTGTTGGCGGTCGTTGTTAACCCGGCCGATCCGGTATGGAAATCATTTTAGTGATTCTCATATTTGATTTGGCTAAAAGTTTTATGCCGGATGCCCCTCCTGACGCAACCCTCACCATTTATCCGGGCTTGGGACCAGCACTGTAGTATCACTATAGTAGCACTGGCTTGTGTATCCTAGTAGCTGGTTTACTGAATGTCAAAACAGATGAATAGTTTGGTCAAATTTTGACCTGAGACATGAGACGTCCATGGCAGGCCCACCCACCAACCCCATCAGCGGGGCGAGTGAGATTACAGTGAACGAGAGCCTGGTGGTTCTGGATCCTGCAGCCAGGGCTGCGGCTCTGGAGCAGCTCTCAGCTGACGCCAACACAGCACTACAGGCCGGAGTCAGCCGTATCATTGCCAGCAGTGAGTGGACATGTTACACAGCACTCTGTGACTAATGTGTGTTTCTGCAGCACGACTGCACAAAACAATGCAATTTTTATTGCAATTGCAATTCGTATAGAAGGAACGCGGCAAAATCCAAAAAGCTTAGCAACCTGCCAAAAAAGGCACCACCAACAGGGTGAGGCAGGCACTGCACAGAGGGCGCTGATCTGTTGAGAGGGGGGACACAGAAAGACAAATGAATTTAACTGTACAATCAATACTTTATTTTTTCACAGCGGAGAAATTACACTGATTTGTGGTTGTAATTCACATCAGTTAAAATCAGTTCTGTAATTCTAACAGTGTTAAATTTAATTATATATATGTTTGTGTATAAATATATATTTATATATATGTATATAACCTTAAAACCTTGTAGCTGTTGTAGCCGTTGCCTCGGAGCTCACAGTGCCTCTCCTCCTCCTCCTCTCCTCAGGTGAGCACCAGCCTCTCAGCCGTGAGACACCTCCATCATAATGGATGTAGAGGTAGGTTTGTCTGATGTAGACATGTCCACAGAGCGAGACGGAGACGTGTCCAAATCCTGAGCTTTCGAAGGGTGGACGCGGGAAGGACATTGAGATGGCGGTGGTGGTTCTTAGAAACTTTCCCAGGAGGAAGTGACCTCATCGAAGACAAGGACATATGCAATACAACCTCTTAAAAATAATCTTAGCCATTAATAAATATATTAAATGGCACATTTGCTAACATTAGTCAAAATTATCTGTACATAAACCAAAGGAAGTTGGCTAGTAACACTTGAATACAATATGGAAATTTGTTAACTGATTAAATATTGTATGCACAAATGTCAAACACAATAAGACAAGACGGTTCAAACAACTGCAAGAAATAATATATGGCTAAAATGATCCAAGATAGAGTCAAGTTGACCACAACATATGTTATAAAAATTGCTAAATTACCAGAAGATGACACAATCTTTACACAATTTTACCCTGAATATTTTAAAGAATTCCACCATTGCCAAACAATACATTTAAATCATTTACATTTAAATGTGTTGTGTTGTAATTGGATAACAGCAGAATAAGGTATGTCATACAGGAGACACCTGTAGATAGGTTACAAAAGTAAGTCGGACACAGACGACACAGATAATGCTGATAACAGGTGATGTAACAGCTTTACTGTAGTGTTACCCTAGCCCCTGACCCTCTGTACTCTTTTCTCAGAAGCTGTTTTACTCACTGGTTTATTGGTTTTATTGAGGAGGGGGTTTTGAAGGGTATTTGTGTTTTATTCTGAACGTATTCTTTTAGAAAGTCTAGTTGCCTAATAGAACTTTTCAACCTTGACCATGACCTGGATGACTGTGAATCTTCATAGACATAAATAATAGACTTAGTGGGTTGAGTTGAGTTGAAAACAGCCTCACATATGTATGTTACAGCACTACTGAGGGCGTTTCTAGAAACTGCTGCACAAACTGATAAAAGTAGAAAATAATTGATCTCACATTAACCACAAAACACACACGTGACTTAAACAAAAAGCAAATATTAAATTAAAATTTAGTAAATGTTTAAATGTAATTCAATTATAGTAATTAAGTTAACATAAAAATTGCTTGTGCTTATTTCAATTTGTCCTACTGTAGCTTCCGTAGTAACAACGGAAGCGCACACTGCACGGTGTAGGGACAGCGAAGAAAATAATCACGGCGGAGTAAAAATATACTGTATAATAAATGCACGCATCTGATTAGGTTCTGTAACTAGCCGCTCAATAAGTGAATTAAACCACAACGTTTTTTAAATGTGTTAAATGTATTTTTAATTCTCGCTACCATGTGATTAGCAGGCATTTAGCAATGTGAAAGTGTTAGCATCGCGGTCGTGTCAATAAATAAAACCCAGGCGTTAAAATGCCTCGAAGTTTGTTCCGGAGTGGTGTTTTAGTTCGGGTTGGTCACACTCTGCTGACCTGGGTCACGACTCTTGTACTGTTTCTGCACGACACCGGTACGTTTGAGAGAAAGGTTTTGGATCTATACTTTAGAATAAATGAATACGACAGGTTGCTATCACCTGATGAAGTATTGGTGTATGTGCGACAACTAGTTTCCCCCTGAAAACTATGAGCAAACTAAAACGACAGTGGTTTGGCTACCACAATAGGTGTTCATTCTTATGAAATAGGAAATAATTATCACTGTAACAAACGTGTGTGTGTCTGGTTTGTGCAGATTTAAGGAAGAATGAGGAACGAGGAGATCTCCTGCTGCCACTCCTCTTTTTCCTCCTGGTGGTTCTGTCAGTCCTCTTGTACTTTACAGTTTCATTAATGGATCCTGGATTTATTCAGACTGATGTCATGAAGGTAAAACCAAACATAATCAATCCAAAGATTTTTCATCAGGACAGTATACAACAATTGCTTTCACTGTAGAGTCATCTGACAGTAACGATATTGGCCTTCCACTTGTCATAATGTGATCACAGACATTATTGAGACATTTTCAGGTTGATGAAGAGTCTAATGAAGAACTGGAGTCAATGATTCCCCAGTCGTCCACTCCTCAGCTACGACGTTGTGGGTACTGCTTTCTACAGGTAAATGTCATCATTAAATCAACTCAGTGTTCAGCCTGTTCAGTCTGATTACCATCTGCCCTGGTAAACTAAAAAAGACCCACTGACAGGTAAATATTAACTTAATATTAATTTAATATGACATTTTCTTTCAATCTTCTGCAGCAACCAATGAGAGCAAAGCACTGTCAGACATGTAACCACTGTGTGCGTCGCTTTGACCACCACTGTCCCTGGATAGAAAACTGTGTGGGAGAGAGAAATCATCGCTGGTTCATCGTTTATCTGCTGGTGCAGCTGCTCACTCTGCTCTGGGCTCTTCATTTCGCTCTGTACGTGTGAACAGTTGTCAGTTTGAGTCTGACTTTGTAGAAACATGTTCTCTGCTATCCCAGACAGCTTTAGTCAGAAACACAAAATTAAATAAACACCCACTTTGCCACCCTAAAGACCTTAAAACTATGAATCAATCAATTTATTTATAAAGTGCATTTCATGCACAAAGCAAACTCAATACAACAGTGGTAGGGCGCAACCCTGCCCTTTATAATAATTAAGGGCAGTGGGTGATGTTAAAAATGTTATATCACAGCAAATAGACAAATCTCATTTAGAGCTACCTTCAGCAGAGCTTTGTGACAAACTGAGAGGCAGCAGCAGAACAAGAAGCATCTGTGTTTTTTTTTTCTTTTTAAGCTCATATTACATTTACATTTATGCAGCTAGCAGATGCTATTATCCAAAGTGACTTAAGAGGAGAATTAACAATCAAGCTACGTAGAGGAACTCTTGAAAGGAGACTGCTATTTAGTAAAGTGGGACCTCTTAACTAAGGTGGAGACAAGTGCAGAAGGAGAAGGGAAGTACAGGAAAGTGCAAGGGCAGCAGGTGTTTTCTGATAGCTAAGTTTTCAAAAGCTTTTGAAAAAAGGCAGGTACGCCACTGTTCTGGTGGTGCTCAGTAGCTAATTCCATCAGTGTAGAACAGTCCATGAGAAGAGCCTGTAAAATATTTCTAACAATTTTGTCATTGAGTTAACTTATTTTCTCTGTTGTCCTGACCTAACGTTTACCTTTATCTTGATCTACACTTTATTGTTTCCTAGTTGATTATATTTTGCTGACCTTAAGCCATTTGATAGTCGTTACAGTTCTTAATAACAAGTCATATAACATACAACTAATTATACAGATTATACAGGGGCACAAACATTCTCCTCCAGTTACTCTACTGTGCCTTTGACACACTCATAACAGCAGGTATTTTAATCTTTCAGGTCAGGAATTTCTCCCAGCAATTCTTGGGAATCCTGGTTTCGTGTGAACATTTTCCTGTTGGCAACCCTGGTTCTGGTCGGTGTGTTCTCAGTGGTGACAGCAGTGCTGCTGTGCTCCCACCTCTACCTGGCTTCCATCAACTGCACCACCTGGGAGTTCATGTCCAGTCACAGGATCTCATACCTGAAGAACTATGGAGATGAGGAGAATCCATTTGACCAAGGGGTTCTCTGCAACCTGTGGGATTTTTTCTGCGTCTGTAGGACAGTGGCGTGGGAGCACATCTACCGCCAGAAACAGGACCACTGACTTCAGCTTTCAACCTTGTTGCAGAGTGGAGAAACGAGCGGACATTTAATGGGTAAACTTAATATTACCTCTTCACTCAACACTTTTTTTACTAATGTGTCAGGAAAATACTGTGGCCTTCACATGCCAAAAATGCTGATGTTTCCTATTTGCTCAGTGAACTCTCAATCTTACTAAAGTATTTTTGCAGCATTTATACACCAATAAAAAAATCAACTTTTCTATTGAAATTTCCCAAATACTATTATTACCAACAGGCTGTTTTTAATGGCATTTATACTTTGTATTTATTGACAAGAGGACAACAAAAGACTGATAATACAGTGTTGTTTTATGTGTATTTACAAAGCAGGTTTATATACACACACACACACACACACACACACACACACAGTCACACAGAGACTCACATCTTACATGCAACATTTAGCAGCGTCAACATAAAGTGCTACAGCAGCTAAAGAGCAGGTGAGAAGTTGAATGTCCCGCTACGAGACAAGAACACAAACAAACACGTTATTTCAGGTCTTATGTCTGTGTTTTTCTTAAGAGTAACCAACAGCTGAAACAACAGCTGGTTATTCCACTTCAATCATCCATTTCCTACTCCTACCTATTTACTACCACCTGATTCTTTCATTTGAAATGATTTTCCTGGAATTTCCATCTACATCTCCATCTATTAAATTATTGTCTTTATCCCCAGAATTCTGAATCTAAGGTGTGGATTATTATGTCATCTTTTGTAGACATAAACTGAGGTTTTAGTGGCTTTGGTGATTGATCCCATACAGCTGAGGTTCAAGGGTAACAAATACTATTGTTGTCTATCTAATTAACTTTTTTTAGAGTATACATTTTAAAATATGTGCTATCTGAACTCTACATTTTCAATAATTACTACTTACAACCCAATTGTGGCTACTGTTCTATTTTAAGCAACAATTTGTACCCTAAAGTTTTTTTTACAATCAGAATAAATTGACCGTTTTAAAAAAGTATAATTTTCTGTCATCTACTCTTTGTAGCAGTTTCCCAACATTCATTGAACCACATAACCTATTTTACATTTAAAACAAATTCCACATTACACTAAACAAAAATGTCAAAAAAGTACATATAATGAAACATAATGACCTTTAAGCTTAATTGACTCACGATGTACTTATTGTGTGTTAAGATCTTTTCCTGTTTAGTTGACTAGGGCCTGTTTAGAATTTCTACATACTCTCAAGAAAGACTTCAGTGAAGATCAACAGCTCTGGCTCTCTTTTCTAGTTTTTATAGTTCTCTGCTGCCACCTAGTGAAATATTATTCAACTGTTCTGGTCGCCACTTGCATAGATAAACGAAGACAAATTATTTTCAGTAAATAAATAATAGTTTTCACACTACACCTGATGCTCTCTCACTGCACAATAGTTGGGAATCAGTGCTTTATAGTATAGTATTCCTAAATTTGATAAAAGTGTCTTCAACTAAATTTCCCAAACTTTTCACATAATTCCCCATAATATATTACTCTTGTATATACACACATTGCTTGACCTTTATATATTGTATATTTAGTGTATATAGTCTATAAATATTTGGTGCACATAAATGGAGTCACTGAGTCTTTCCTCCACTTCTCTTCCAACTGCTTTTCCTCTTATTGCATTTCCACGGTCGGAGCTCAGCTTCACTAAAACTGTTTCTATGATAACTGTCTGATTTCTAATATTCTATGGCTTCTCATTCATTGGTCGTGGGTCGTTACCCAGCAGTTCACACAAACATATACACAAAGAAATGCCAAACACATTAAACATTTTCACATTTTGTTGAAGAAAAACCCTCCTGTCAGCGAAGTAGGTTTGTCTCAATCGGTCAAGGCAGTGGGTGGAGCCTGTCACAGTGGTGAGTTCAGGTTTTTTTTAGAAGTGGATTATTCCTTGGTTCATCCTGGGACATGTTAGGCTGTAGTGGTCGTCTTTAGTAACTTCTGAAAACCAAATATCTTAAAACTGTTCCTCGACAGAGAAACATTGGACTGCTGTTCCATCAGATTGAACCATTCTGGTCATTTTCTCTGGCATTCAAACCAACAATTGCTCACTTAGTGTAATCTCATTTTTCACAATTTTTGTTGAATGACAGAAATGGTTGAGCAGCAAAATTCCAGTAGTTTCTGAAATACTCGGACCTGTTTGTCAGGTTCTCAGGTTCTCAAGTCATTAAATTGAACCTTTTTTCTTCTGATGATCAGTTTTCTCGTCCACAGTTCATCTCCTCCATGTTTATATGAATTCTTTGTTTTGAATTTAATGCATTTTTATTAACCGCAACACAGTTGCTGCAATGTGATTGGCTGATATTTGCATTAACATGCAGTTGAGCAGGGGTACCTAATGAAGTGGCTGTTGCAAATTTTGTATACCAGTAATTATTTTACAAATAAAGGCCACAAAGCAGAGAAAGTGATTAACTAGCTAAATTGGTTAATGATTTGTAAAAACATTTAACAGGAATACAGAGGTTTTATCCAAATAGAATTAGTAATAGTGGTTAATTTGTTTGCTTTTGTGTCAGGTTCAGTAGTTACATACTCTAGGATTACGTGTGTGAGTCAACAGTGTTGTGATTAATCAGGATTCAGTGTCTATCCAGTTGTTTCTTCTCAGTAAAGAAACCAAACATCAGGTTCCGCCATCTTTCATTCTGCAGCTTCTGCTTTTATCCGTACAGAGCACAGAAATCAAAGTCAGCGAACGCCTCCTGCTGCTCAGACGACAGAGTAAAGGGCTTAGACGGAGGAGATAGAACCGGCTGCATACAAGTGAACTCACTGTCAAAGTTACTGACATCCACCGACTCAGAGATTGAAGGCAGGAACGGAGGCGTCGCCTTCTTGGCCAGAAGTGCATCCCAGTCAATTGTCTACAAGACAGTAAAGGTGAAATAAGACACAGGTGTCCATGGAACTATGTTTGTTTGAAAATAAAAAAAGTCAAGTTCACCTCAAAAAACTTCTCTCCTTTAAGCTCATTGGCATCTCTTTCTCCTGCTCCAAGTCTTTTCAGTGGATTCCTCTTCAGGAGCTGCAGAGGTCAATAGGTCAATCACCAATCAATATAAGGTCATTAAAGGGACATGTCTAAAAGTGTTTACCCATCCAGGTCATATTCATCCTCAAAAGTTTATAAATAGGCTAATCTGTCACTTCCCCCTGTTTTAAGCAAATTAGTAAATTTAATTGTCTTTTTATTTCCATCATTGGTTACAGGGGAGTGGGAAGCTAAGAAAGGAAAGTGATCGATACCTTTTGGATGATGGCGACAGCGTTAGGTGGTAGAGAAGTTGGGTACTGAACGTCATCGTTGACGATGCTGTCAAACACTTCCTCTTCGTCCTCTCCAGGGAACGGAGACTAACAAGGAGACGAGAAAACTTTATTCTGGTTTCAGTTAAGAATTTTTACCCTTTTATCTGTTTTGACAAAAATATTATTCTGTGCTATTATCCACCATTTGACTTGTACTGACACTCACATAGTCAGTGGAAAACCAGTGAAACGACCAGTGTTAGCCAGTGATGGGAAATCTACTTATTATTGTTTTTCAGGCTCCTATAAGGCCTTCAAAAGTGTTTGCACAGAGTTCCTGTTAGGCCAGATAATCTCACAGGTGGCGATGGTCGCCAAAATATTGTTGTACACACACACAAATGTAATATGCACTTGTTTTTAAACGGACACTCTCATACAGACCATTGTCTGTGGTGCTCTCTGTAAGACCTGCGCCCCAGAGCTTCATTAAAGCTTTGACAACAACTTTCAATAAATTCTCCAATAAACTCTTTAAACTGAACAACATTGGTCATTCTGTTTTATTACAAAACATGTGTTCTGGTTTTTTTTTTTCAACATTAAAGTTGGAACCAATAGCTGAACTGTCAGACAGAAATTATAACCACTCTAAACAGAACTGTAGGTTTTATTAGAGACTTGTTTTAGAGTGGCTTGAATCAGATTTTCCCTGTAGAAGCCATGTTTCTACTAAGAGCAGACCTGCAGGACTAGCAGTGTCAGTACCTTAAAGGACCAGAGTTAAATTCAACTACCAAATAAATAAGTAATTAAAGCAGTCATAAAAACAGGCCCACCTCTCCCACAAGCATCTCGTAGATGAGGACACCCATCCCCCACCAGTCCACAGCCCGGGTGTAGTTGTCATCCGTCAGAACTTCAGGAGCAAGAAACTCTGGAGTTCCACAAAAAGTTGAGGTTCGGTCACCGAAACCTATGCCTGTGGGAAAATGAAAAATGATTCCTCATATTACAACTATTTGTCTTTGACTAAAATGAGAGTTTGGTTAAAGATGTATTTTTAGCTGTTTTATCTATTCTTTAGTTTTGTTGGTTGGTTACTGAGGGCAAAAAGAACATTTATTTATGAATAAGAGATGGTTTGAACAAATTATTTATTTGATAAAATATAACATTAGTCTTAAATACTTTTTTCCAATTACCACAGAAATGTTGACCAATAATTATGTACATTAAAAATTAATAATTACGCCCAGCACCTTCTTTACAAAGTCCAAAGTCAGTGATTTTCACGAAACCATCTGAGTCCATCAGCAGGTTGTCCAACTTCAGATCTCTAAAGGAGACATAAAGAGGTGGTTCACCATTAAACAAGAGTCCAATAATGGGACAAATCTGAGTTTAAACCATTGGCTTTGGTATCAAAAACCAGGGACAGTACCAGGACCTAGCTACGTTACCATAGATTTTTATTTCATCTTTACTTTTAAAACTTCAGTCCAGGACTTCTTCTTGCATGTCTATTGTCATGAGTGAATGTACTTTGTTATTTTGCATTCAATTATACACTGTTTATATTTTTAACAGGTGCAAATTGTAAAAAATATTGTCAAATTGCAAATTGTCAAATTGCCCCTCTCCCAGCCCCCAACACTCACAAAAACCCCTTTGTGTGGTTTTAGTAACAGTGAAGATCCAGAACCACCTGGAGACTGAGGCTAGAGAAGGTGCGTCCTTTGCTGTGCCTTTTCTAATGTTGACGACTTTCTTTAACCTTATTTTCGGAGGATCATTTAGTTTCTTGAAATTGTTATTGCTGTGATTAAAAATTCCTGGTACTACATGGTGGAAATGTGACTCGAGTGATTAGTGAGACTCACCGATAGATAATTTTGTTCAGATGCAGGAACTCTAACCCCAGCACAACACAGGCAGAGTAAAACCTTAACGAAATAAGGACAGCAATAACAGCAGGAGGTGTGAGTCAAACAGAGCAGTAACTTAAATGACTGTCGTAGACCACGGAAAGAGACCTATAACACAGACCTGGTCTGGGCCTCAGTGAAGACGTTGTTGTGGATGTGGATCATGAGGTCTCCTCCTGGTAAATACTCCATTACAAAGCAGACGTGGTCACTGGTCTGGAAGCAGCCGTGGAGGTTGACCAGGAAGGGGTGTCTGGACGCGTTGATCATCTCAAAGATCCTCTTCTCACTCATCAGGCTGTGGAGTCAAATTGAGAGTTTTCAGCAAATTTGTATAGATGTCATAACTGATCTCGTCAAAAATAAACCAAACTACTGTTATGGCAATTTTGTCAACAGTCACGTTAGAATAAAGAATAAAACAGGAAATGAACAACGTTGTTCCTTTTAAAGAGTTTATTGGAGAATTTATGGAAAGTTGTTATCGAAGCTTTAATGAAGCTCTGGGGCGCAGGTCTTACAGAGAGCACCACAGGCAATGGTCTTACAGAGAGCACCAGTTTGCAGGCAAGTGCATGTTACATTCATATATTATAGTGTGCTGGATACATTTGTGTGTGTGTACAAGAATATGATTGGAGGCAAGTTGACCTCAGTACCACTGCCACCTGTGAGATTATCTAGCCTAACAGGAACACTGGGAGTATGTGAAAACAATTTTCAAGGCTTACAGGAACCGGAGAAAAGATAATGAGCAGATTTTACATCAGTGGCTGACACGCATAAGGTCAGCCTGGTCGTTTCGGTGTTTTTCCACTGACTGTGTGAGTTTCAGTACAAGTCAAATGGTGGAGAATAACACAGAATATAATTTTGTCATAACACTACACACACAAACACACACCTGTCTACTTCATCACGGGTCACAATGTCTCGTTTCTTCAATGCTTTGATGGCGTACAATTTTCCTGTGTTCTTGAACTCTGCCAGCAACACCTGTGGGGACAAGCATGAGGACAAACATGACAGAAAAAAAATCAGTGGTGACACGAGGGGCCAGCTCCGATGGTTTATCTGTTTCTTACCTTCCCAAAGTGTCCGCGGCCCAGAACTGATATATACCTAAAATCATCCATTTGCATCCTGTTAAAACACAGGGAGAAAACTACAGAATGAAGACAATGAGCTAATCAATATGATCTTTGAAAAAAAACTAATTAAATATGTGTGTGTGTGTGTGTGTGTGTGTGTGTGCTCCTACTTTTGTCCAGAAATAGGTTGTTCTTCAGTTTCTTGTGTGTTAGTTATCATGGACTGTGGACACAGAAGTATTACAATTATTTCATGTCACATGTTGGTCTTTGAATTAGTTTTTTCCTAATTGTTTTCCTTATGTTGCAATGTGTAGACAATTATTATCTTTTTTTTTTTATTTTAAAATTTTCATTTTTAAGTGAAGTTTTTCACTTAAAAATGAAACAATAAAAAAATTTCATTTTTTCAAAACAAAATTAACGTTAGAATAAAAAGAGAAGATTAAATATTCTAAATAGTACTGGGTTCTGTTTCACCTTTGGCAATTTGATAAAAACAGAGATTCTAATTTCAGGTACTAATAAAATGCCTGTGATACTGTATCTACCCTGCCTTTGTTTTTTACCTGTTGTTTTTGCAGCTCAGGTTCGGAGGCTGTTGTGTGTTCAGGCATCATGAGGACTGGTGGTTCTGTATTTTGGCTGAAGTCTGTGGCAGGACCCATATCTTGAACCTCATTGACGGTGAGTCTATTCACTGCAGCATCACTGCAGAGTCCCACACACAATACACACATTGTATTAATGACAAAAGTGTTAACATTAAATCGTTTGTGTTATCCAACCCTGCACAGTTGACCTCTGACCTTGGCACTGGATCATGGACATGTGGCTCCTGTCCTGTGGCTTGTGACAAGTTGTTGGCTGTCATGTCAGCGGTTGCACTGAGGCTGGAGCTGAATGTGGAGAAGGTGGTGTAACGAGGGAGGATGTTCATCATCAGGTGACCCCAGGTGGAGAAGTTCATGTTCATCTGTGCTGCTCTGAGGAAGTTCTTACCTGTCAAACACCCACAGATGGACAGACAGAAAGTAGGACAGTAGGAAAGATGGAAAGATTTTTTTTTAATTATTTTTTATGGTTGTACCTCTTTCTTTCGTGAATATACATCGCTGACGTCTCAGTTTAGGCTGACGCTCGACAACAGCATCAATGAACTGAAGCTGTAAAAACAAAGATAAAACCAATTAGACTGTATTGCATTTCTTTGCTATAAATTTTGGTAAATAAAATTTAAAATAACATATTTTACAAAAAATGTAAAATCACAATATAATAGAAGTGAGATTAAGATTAGTCCTCTTTAGCAGTCACTAGTGGGTGGTGGGTCTGAGTGTCAATACAGGGGAGGCGACTATTGGCTATCACCATGACCACCATGACCATGACCATCATATGACCTCTGGTTTGTGTCAGACCTTGGTGTAAAGGAGTCCCTGAGGCTCCAGACTCAGCTCCTGCTTGTGGTTTTGGCCCTCCATAATTTCCTCTAGTCGCAGGAACTTGACAGCACACATTGCACTTTGGTCCCGCCAGAAAATGTTGACCTCTAGCTCCCGAGACTGAGAAGTAGACCAACAGACACTGTAAGTATGTTTTAAAACAGTAAAGGTTCAAACTAGAGACAAACACATAAAAATGATTTAATGCCTGTCCAAAAACAGAGTATTTGGTGTGGGATGACTAAGACACAAAGTTAAATTGACTGACGATATTAGAGCCGTGGCGCTTTGGCCCAGAGGCAATGTGTCTGTTGTTGGTGTGGAACCCCAGGATTCGCCTCCTGGGCAAGTTAGAATCCAAGTTAGGGCGGTTGGTACCTTCCAGTGGACTCACCACCCGCAGGGTTAGGGGGGTTGGGACGGTGCAGTGTGATTTGGGTACCGTGACCCGATAACGGATAAGTGGATGAAAATGGATGGATGGATAGACACAACCATGTATATGCGAATTGGAAATAAAACGTATTTTTGCTGCTAAAGTAAACATACACCAACGTCCTTGAACTCACCCGCTCCAGCTGAGTGCAGAAAGTCTGATCCCAGCTCAGTTTGCTGACTGTTCCCCAGCGTGTCCGACCAACCAACCTGCCATCCAGCCTAAGCACAGCAGCGACCTCTGCTGTGAAGCAGATGCGAAATGATTGAAAACATCTGTGATCAACTCAGTACACAATATACAACATACATTCAAAGCAGATTGATTTACCCAGAGGTTCTACAGTTAAGGATTTGGAATGTATCGGTATAAGAAAAATGTTTATGAAAAGCGTCAGTTCAACTCCTTGTTTTTATTGAATATAAAACATAAATGGCAAAACATTAAGTGAAACTGTGTCAAAATGTTTCTGAAACTAAGAAAAACACACCATGTCCCTTACCTTCGTGTCCATCTGTCCTGTGTGCGTTGTCACTGGGACATTTGTCCTGCTGTGTGTTGGTCAGTAAATCCTCACATCCTAAAAGCCTGACCTCAAGTTTTCCTTAAAATACAGAAACAATGTATGTCTTAAATAGAGAATATAATTTTAAGACTAAAATAATTTTGAATGGAGTATAAAAATAAAGTTTATGTGAGCAGAGTTCAGATTTTGTAAGATACTCCAGTCATATTCTTCAACCCCTCATGTTGATGTTCCAGACAGTGGTAATCAGTTCAGGCAGTTGACCACACTGAGTGCAGCATCTCAAATTGAAACCTTTGATTGGTCAGCATGAATGGGTCTCTTGTGATTGTGTGTGTGTGTGTGTGCAGCCTCTAATCAGCAGTGTGTGCTGAGCAAAAAAAAAAAAAAACGCCTCAAGTGTTTTCACCACCCTTAGACACGTTCTCATTATCTGCTGCCAACAAGGCAACTGTGAGATCCATCTTCTTTTTTTCCTGTTACATCATCAAAAAAGATTCTGTTTTTGCTTGATGCACGGAGAGGGTGGTTTACAAAAAATTGTAAACCATTCATTTCCAAAACCAAATTTATTTTGTCACATAAGACGACAGCTAGGGTTTCAGAGTGAATGCTTTATCTCAAGTAAGCACTATTTTTTAACGAGAGTTTGTTTAAAAAACATCTCACACAAAGTCCATCGAACGAAATTCACGCTGATGTGAAAAATATGAGTTGCTGGTCCACTGCTGCCTCGTGTGGTCAGGCAGTGTCACTGATGTAAACTACATAATGAAAGCAGCTGATTGATTTACAACCTTTAGTTTTCTCTTGGTATATTTGTGGACGATTTTATCTAAGGTAACACACAAAATTATAAGTCTAATAAATAAGTCTGTTAATACCAGTCACTGATGCAGGTCTCATAGAGAAGGTGGACAAGGAGGTGGACAGGGGACACCCAGGACTTGAGTTCTTTCTCTCTGAGATGTTAGCATCCCCTGCTGGCTGCTGTGGAGGTTTCTGACTGGTCTCCTTCACACATTGTTCAAGAGATAGCCGTAAGAGGTGGAGTTTCTGAGAGGAGTCGAGAACTCTGGCCTGGGCCTGATAGGAAGATTAAAGGCTTGTTATTATTCTGTTGATATCATACAACTTAGTATCACTTGCTTGACAGTCAAGCTGGAAATAAACAATGTTTTATTAGTCTGTCCTGACTCCACAAGGAGTTGGTCCAAACTCCACTTTGTTTTATTATAATCGATGTCAAAAGATTTAGATCAATATCGAATAGAATCATTATCAAATCAAATTATAACCTAAAGAATTGAAATATTAATTAAATATTTGAAATATTGTTGGGGCTGACAGTTAATCATGACTTAGCTAATTTTAAGGACATGAACAAGACTTTAATGAAAGACCTGGTCGCACATTTAACTTTTGCTTAAAGAACTTATATTTTACAGGAGCATTAGAAAACCTCTTACAAAACGTGTAGTGAATTTTCAGCTCTTCAACATTCGACTCTGACCACTTCTAATTCCTAGACCTTGCTTTGTAGAATAAATGTTGTGGACAGTCTCACCTCAGCCAAAGCCTTCTGGTCAAGTGATGACAGGCTCTGCAGCTGCTTCACCACGTCTTTGGCCAGAACTAGAGCGTCTGTTTCTCTCTGTACCTGCTGCTGTAACTCCGCAAAATGAGCTTCCGTGGCACTGACAGTTAGTGGAGGTATCTCTAAGGTGAAAAACAAGCAACAGAGATACAGACCAGCACTGAGTTTGGTTTTTAAATTATAAAACCAACATGGAAAGAGCTCAAACAACGACCGCAAGTGCAGAAGGTTATTGGTAGAAATTGACCAATGTAATGTATAGTTTCACCCCAACAGAATGTAGTACAATAGATTTGTTAAGTACAATGGACTGTATGAGATTCCCCTGCAGGTACAGGCAGCAGGGAATAAAGCACATTATTCTCTGCTAAGTGCTTTTTCTCTAGTACCCACCAGTACCTGGAATACAGACCGGTTTCTAGGAACTAAGTATGTTGCCATGGCAGGAAGTTATACTAGGAACTAGTTATAATAAGGTAATACATTATTTCATTATGCATTATCATTCATGTTATTAGCAAGTTTCAGGTCATGACATTTAAGAAACAAACAACAGCATGTGTGACTGACAACTGTCCAATAACAATATTTTAATATTGAAGTATTTGTTTTTAAGTATTTTAAACTGTTTTGAATTATTTTTAAGGCTAGTACTTGATCAAGATTGACTGTTTTTGTACATCTAGTTGACACTTGGACGCATTGTTGGATCCACTGCCTGCCATAAATGAAAATATCACTGAAGATCGATTGAGACAAAAAGGAGGTCAAGAGTCAGAGATGCGAAACATGAGCCCGGGAAAGAAGGTGTCCAGTTACCTTCATTCTCATGTTACCTACTCTCACCCTCAGGCCAGGAAATTACTGCTCTGAATGTTTGGTTTAAGAGTTTTCAAAATGACAAACATTCGCAGTTTAGATTTTGAAGGTTACATTTGCTGTATGTCTGTTTTAATTATACAAAGAAAAAACATCCAGAGAGAGGGCAGTTGGCAGGAAGTATGATTTAAGTACTTAAAGGCTTTTTGATGCCAAGGCTGAAGTCTTCTGAATTGAGCTTGACTTATAATGTAATATTCTCCACAGCCTTTCAGAAATCCAGTCACTTAATTAAGCACTAAAGGTGCACTCCACTCTCAGTGTTAGCTTTATTTTTCTGTCTCTTTTTTTTTACAAACTCTTGATTCATCTCTGTTTGCAGTCTTGTCTTAGTTTTTAAACTATTTTATCATTCTTTGTAAAAGCCATTAAGGAAAGAGGGGTTGGATTAGTATCTCCTTTAAATACATTAGTTTGTCAATGTATACAGTATACAGATATACTCCTGTTAAGTGGTTCCATAGCACCTGTCCGGCAAGCAGAGAGCAGAGAGTCCTGGGTGTGATTCCCAGAGGAACCACATATCCTCAGCACCTCCTATGTGACATTGTTCATGTGCAAGTACTGTCTAATCCCCTAATGTTGGGACTTAATTAGGTACAAAAAGCACTTCGGTTTCATTACCAGTGAATGTGGCTGTCATACACACACGGTACGCCACACATACAGTCTATACTTGCACTGCAGTACCTGACCTTTAAAAATGTAGAGACTTGTCCTCAAGTGGTTAATGAAAAACCACTGTGTCAAAATTGTAAAAGGTGCATTGATTTTCCTTTTCTGTTCAATGTGAAGTAAGGGAATTGTGCATCATAAACTGAACTTCCCAATGAACTTGTAATAAGCTGGGACTTTGATGGCATTATACATTTAAATACTTCTATCGAGTTCCATGTGATGAAAATGTATACATTCCTGTATTACTTACTGTATATTCCTGGTGCTTGTTCATGCTATGGAAGTAGGAACATTAAAAGCCAGGAAGAAGTTAAAAGTGCTTGTGAATTAATAATTTGGGTTTATTTAATCATTGGTAGCAAATATTATTGTTAGTTTGTTAAGTTTAAGCCAATAAAAACTCTTAAATGTGATACACAAGTAGTACAGATAATGGGCTGACAACTTGGACTGTGACAGGACTCTGACCTCTGTTGCTGATGCTGTTGTGGTTTTCACAACCACTGCTTCCATTATCATCTCTGCCGTTGCCGCCGCCGCTGCTGCCGCTGCTGCCAGCCTGGGTGACTTTAATAAACTGCAGTCGGATCAGCTCGATCTTTGAGCGGCTATCCTGCAGCATCTGCTGAGCCGTGGACAACATCTGATCCTGGATACGGACATCACAGGAAGAGACAAGGAGCTATACTTATACAACGTTCACACTCTTACGTCCTGACAGCTCAGCCGGTACAGGCAGCCCCAACACTAACACACAGACAGACTGAACAACACAGAGCCACATGTTTACCGTGAGTAGTGCTGGGGATCACCAGTGACGTCCTTGTCCCATGTGCAGAGAGACGAGGAAACACAATGACTCTGCACTTCACTTACCTTATAGTTAAGCTGTGGCTCCGTGCTGAATAAGGACTACTCTGTCATCCTCTGTGGAGGTGGTGGTTGTGTAGGGAGGGGGGTTGGGCTTCTCAGGTTCCTCCTCTCCTCCTTCACTATCCTTGAAAACCCAACAAGTCATCCGGCGTTCACTGAGACGGGCACACTCATTGGGACTGAGTGCACTCCTCGCATGTCATCCCTACATCCTGAGACCTGGACGACACAGTCGGTGCTCCTCTGTTTGTTTTCATCTGCCTGCTTCCTCCTCTGCAACGTCCCCTTTGCATCTTCATCACTCTCCTCCTGCTATCTAAACAAACCCCTCCTTCTCCTCCTCCCCTCTCTTACAGGGTTTCTCTGCAGAGGGTCAACAGTCCGGCAAAACATACTCGATTTCAGAATTTTCTTTTAACTGTATTTAATTAATTTCTGATTAAAGCGCGAGTAGACTTAATTATATATGGCTAAAATAAGCAGATATTTCATATAGCAGTAAAACAGAGATTTAAGGTAGTTTACAAAAATCCCCTGCAGGTTTTCATAGCATGGGATTTGTTGGCTTTGTAAAAAAAGAGTTTCAGTACCTTAAAAAGGCTTGATTTTAGAATCTTTTAGGAACAATGGCGCCTTGTTTTGTGCAGTATCTGGTTAACAACATAAACATAATAATAAAAAAATTATAATAATGTTAAGACTACAGCAAAAAACTGAAAGACCTTGTTTTGTGCTGTATCTGGTTAACAACATAAACATAATAATAAAAAATATTAAAATAACGTTAAGACCACAGCAAAAAACTGAAAGATCGCTGTTAGATAGTGTTAGTTGATAGTTGTTTTGAACTCAGGGTTTACAGTGTTACATTTACAGTATACAATATCTTGGTCCTACTAACCACTGAAATGTTTACAACAGTAAAAATAATTTATTCATTGTAGTTGGTGTAGACTCAATGAACATTGTTGGGTTTTTTTACACTAAAATATTGCTATAGACCCGAAGGACTTTTATTTATTTATTTGAGTATTACATAAATTGTTACACTCGCCTATGGAGTTATTTGTTGTTATTTAAAGTATGTGTTTGTTTGTTTGTTTGATTGTTTTTTTAAAGGTACAGATTATGTAAACATATTGTGTGTTAATATGCTAGTGTTGATTCTGAGACGGTAAAAGAGAATAAAATATCAGATTATAGCCGCAAATTCAGACCTATTTTGAGAGGCGGAGCTCTTTGGTCGCTGCCTCATTCGCCGAAGCGCGTTCGTAATGAAAGGAGCGCGGGAGCGGCGGCGGCTGTGACTTCCTCGCTCCGCGGCAGTAGCACCATCCACATTCACATTGTGTGGAGGAAAGCGGCAGCACGTTGTTGCCTTCTCCGCGCTCAACTTTACAATCATTAAACGCTCTCTTGGTCGGGGAGATACTACATTCAGAGCCACAAGCCACCCTCTCAGAGGTCTGTGAGTGAACCCTGTCTGCGCAAACATGTCGGCCTCGGCGGCAAAAGTGAGTAAAAAGGAGCTCAACTCTAACCATGACGGAGCGGACGAAACCTCCGGTAAGTGAAGCGGAGGAGAGGGGGCGGGGGTGGGGGGGTGTGTAATGGCGGCCTCCTGTTCACCGCCATTTTCACTTTCTTCTCTCGCATCATTTAAAACACCATAGTTCTTCAACTTGTACTGTTTCTGGTACAATCTAGGGAGACACCACTAGATTAGGTTTTTTGGTAGAGCCGTGCTACCGCCCCCCATTACTGCTGCTATTAGTGGCTAGCTGTCTTAGCCTGTCCCGCTGTTGTTCATTCACACCGGCCATGTTAGCGCGTTAGCTTCTCTTAGCAGCACCAGCGTGGTCACTGATGTCGTTGGCTTATCGCTGGTGCTTGAGCCTCATTGTTCTGTTCGCTGTTGCAATGAACAACTTTTCCGCCCTCATTTACACTGAAACTCAACTTCAATGTTTACTCTGTTGGATATAACAAGATGCGAGAAGTTGATTTATTTGTGAACTAGCAAATGAAGTGTTGTTGTTGTTGTACTGCTACCTAACACTAGCCACTTAGCTTCATCACGACGTTGTGTTTTCATTTGTAGCTGATATACTTTTAAATCCAGTAGCTGTATTCAATCCGACTTAAATGTTGCATTGGTAGATGGAAATGGACGCAGCAACAGAAGCGTATAGGACGGTTAAACCCTGTCCTCTGTCGGACGAGTATCGCACGCTGTCGCNTTTCCATAGGTGTGTGTGTCCCACATTCAAACCACGCGGCCTTGTCGGCTCATACCGGCAGGAAACTGCGACTGTCTGAGTAGCTGCACAGCCGCAGCCATTGGCCATTTACGTCGCGTTGAAACGCAATGTAATCTGTCAGATCAGAGCTTCAAATAGTAAAAACAATACTGAATGCTAAGCCTCGTATGAATAGACTTAAGGAACGAGGGTTCCATTTTTAACTTTTGTATAACTTATTGTTACAGAAAAAGCACCAACTAACTTTTCAGTAAATTTACAGTGCCAATTAAAAAAAAACTATTGCTTGATAGAACATTATCTTTTGCGGATTTTCCAAATAATCGGCCATGTTCGGTTATTTATGTTGATGTTTGTTTGTATAATGGATAAACTTTAGCAATACTTTGACAATGTAAAGCAAATATTTTTTGTACCATTTCACTGATCTAGGTGTGCCTAGTAGTAGTTCACAAAGCTACATTAATGTTGTTTACATTTCCACACCCACTTTCATTCTTAACCATGTGTATCAATTTTTTAAAATGTGAGTATATTTTGCTTTGTGTTTTTATTTTGTCCAACAGAGAAAGAGCAGCAAGAAGCTATTGAACACATTGATGAGGTTCAAAATGAAATTGACAGGTAATTTATTTTACTCACTGCAATATGAGTTTTAAAAAGATTTAAAAAAGCAATCAAAGCATAATTGGATTTGCTTAATCATGTCCTTCATAAACCTAGGACATTTCTGAACAAAAACTTGGTTAACATTTATTAAAATTAAAATGTCAACAAAATAGATTGTATGTTTGTGGTGAGATCCATAGATTATCTAATAGAGAAACAAAGTAGGAAACTTAATATTAATTCGTTATGATTAAATTGTGTAAATTTTCCATAAACAAAAAAAATTTGAACTGAAATACTTGGTCTGTGTAGTTTCACTGTTTAATGGCTTAGTCCAAAGTTTGATTGTCAGATCTTTTTCATTTTGTAGTAATGTTTGATTGAAATGTTTTTCATCTAGGTTGAATGAACAGGCCAGTGAGGAAATCCTCAAAGTAGAACAGAAGTACAACAAACTCCGTCAGCCGTTCTTTCAGAAGAGATCAGAACTGATAGCCAAAATTCCAAACTTCTGGGTCACCACATTTGTCAACCATCCACAAGGTAGGGAGCTCTGCTTAAGATTTCTGTTCCTAATCTGTAGAATTCTTCAAATCCCCTGCAAAGGTTAACAGGACAATTGTCAGGTATTTAATGTTTATAAAACCTTATTCTGCAGTATCGGCTCTATTGGGGGAGGAAGACGAAGAAGCACTTCATTACCTGAGCCGAGTGGAAGTCACAGAGTTTGAAGACATCAAGTCAGGCTACAGAATAGATTTTGTAAGTGGTTTTGCAGCTTCATTATTGACGAACATTCTTAATTTGTATATTTGTGTCTGTGGTTCTTAGCCAGGGGTTTTAATCTGTCTTTCAGTATTTTGATGAAAATCCGTACTTCGAAAACAAAGTTCTTTCCAAAGAGTTTCATCTGAATGAGAGTGGAGATCCATCTTCAAAGTCGACAGAAATCAAATGGAAGTCAGGAAAGGTGGGTTTGATTTTATCAAAACATTGCAGGTTTAAGTTAGGAGAAACATCATATCTATCCTGTTCTTTTGTTTAATTTACTAAATGGTCTGAGACAGGTAGCCTCACTTCCTCCAAGACTAACAGTGTCTCATTGTTTGTCGGATTTGTTGGAAAATTCCTGTAATAAAATGGACAGCCTTCTAATTTTCTTCCATTCCTTCCTCATTGTAGGACTTGACCAAACGCTCAGGTCAGTCACAGAACAAAGCAGGGCGGAAGAGGCAACATGAAGAGCCTGAGAGCTTCTTCACCTGGTTCACTGATCATGCTGATGCTGGTGCCGACGAGCTTGGTGAAGTCATCAAGGATGACATCTGGCCGAACCCTCTGCAGTACTACCTGGTGTGTTTTTTATGTTCGTTTATATGTACTACTTTTATGTTTTATCTCAGAGAAAATTGCAGAAATGGCTGGATGTGAAAGAAAACATACTAGGCATTAGATCACACTAAAATAGCAGTGTAAACACAATAATATAAACATTTGTAAACATGGAATAAATTATATCTTGTTCTGTGACAAAAAGGGACTGCTCTACAGTCCAACAATCCCTTTCATAAAGGCAGATCCCTATTGGATGATTGTGTTTAGTTGTTGTGGCAATAGAATTTTTCTGATTGTCCTTTTTCTGTTTAATTGAAAGTGCCTGAACATACAGGTGTCAGGGCATTGCCACTGTAAAAAGGTTTTCATTCCAAAGAGTTGGAAATTATCAATGAATTAAAAGTAGGGTCAATTCACCTGCAGGTTCCGGATATGGATGATGAGGAGGGTGAAGGGGAGGATGAAGAGGAAGATGAAGAGGGCCTGGAAGATATTGATGAAGAGGGAGATGAAGATGGAGAGGAGGATGAAGATGATGATGGAGAAGATGGAGAGGTAAGTTGGCAACTTACATTGACACCGATAGCAGTAGTTTTGAAATTGAGATTTATGAAGCACATTTATTTTTTTATACAAAAAACTGAAATATACTTTTCCTTCCTATCAGCAATACCAATTAGAATAACATTTTATATGCTGACTTTTAGGATGTATATTTGAAGAGGTAGAATCTATTTGTCAGGACAGAACATGTCATTAAAGAAATTTCACTTCAGTTTAAAATTCATGTGGTCTCTGACCCACAATTTTACAACAATTGTTCAGAAATGTGTTGCTGTTGTTGATCTTTTCTTTAGAATTCTGCCTAACATTTTGTTTCTTCTTGCAGGATGACGATGGTGAAGATGACTAACAAAATTACTTTCAACTTCAACAGATGCTCAAACTTTCTATCCTGTTTGGTTTTACACTTGTGTTCGGGAGCAAAGTTTTTGTTTTTTGTTTTTTAAATATATATTTTTGTTTTGAACCATGTGTGTGCTTCAACCACATTCTGAAGCCTTTTTATCTATGGGTGCCATAATCTGTTCTTCTTGATTCATTTTAAAGCCAATGGCACTGAATTGTGAGTAACATCCCTGAAAAGTCATCAAAAAGAAAAGCTAATAAGTATTATCATAGAGCAACATGGAAACCTGAGTAGAATTTAAAGATAATTCACACAGAATTCCTCGATTGTGTGGTAAAGTTGACTAAAGCCATGGTGTAGTGACCTAGTGGTAGCAGACCTCAATATTTTCCCTTTTTTTTTTTAGTTGGGGTTTTGTACCCTTGAAGAAGAAAATGTTGTTTTGTTCCCCATTTTGATTAACAAGTTCCAGCTCATTCTTTGACTTGTAATGTTCTGGGGGGCAGGGTCAGATGTGGATGGGATGGGTGTTCGTCGGTTTTCGGGGAGAGTTATTTTAACATCAGTTTTACAGGACTTTTTATTTTCGTTCTTTTATTTTCTTTTCATTGTATTGTTTTACAGATATCCATAAAAATTTGAAATGACATTTTTAATAAAGGACAAAATGGAAAAAAGCTTGTACATTTTTATCTGCTTCATGGGTGTGAAATAATGTTTCATAAATTTGATGTGTACAACTAAATCTTTACACTAAAGTCAGTTGCTATACTTTTATTTTTGGTATAGAGGCACTTGGATTTTAAGTTTGCATTTTTTAGTCAGCTGTTGAACGATTTTGGCGTTATTAGTAGACTTGATGCAAAGTCTTCTTGTAACAGTTGTTGAGTGATTAGAGCCAGGAAGGTTTGCTCTGATTCTTCAAAAGTGGTTTTTGTGACTGTGTCTGGCCAGAGACTTGGCTGGAAGGCCCAACCTGAGAAGAGAATGTGTTGAATGATAAATGTTTAAAGAGATGAAGCAGAAGCTATATCAAAAATTAAAAAATAATGATCAAATATAAAGCAAAACAATGAAATGTTAACACCGCTATTATATGCAATATGGCAAGATACTGCAAAGATAATTACTATGTATATGCGTACATAAATGTATATCTATAATAACTGATCAGTCTATTGTTTATTTGATTTTTTTTAGATAAAGTAATATTTGAACGTAAATTGTTTAGGTAAAACTATATGCACTTATTTATTTAAAGTATTTTAACATGCTAAACGTTTATGGTTACTACGGTAATGTAATGCGATCCTTGTTTTTTCTCAATTGTTAACTGTTCAAGGTCTTCGGATAATTCGCTGGTTCCTCGGTACCCACCAAGATGAGTTTTACAGCGAGGACATGTGGCCATAGTCCAGGAGAATCCCGGGAACCAGGAAAAGTGTTTATCTGCAGGCCAATGCTTGCTTACATCCGCCTTTCTGAACGTGATCACCTCGAACTTGTGTCCATGGGGGTTCTGGAATAGTTGGACATGGACCTTCCGGCCTCCTGGTAGAGTCTCGTTGCGCCTGGACAGCGCCAACCCGCTGTGAATGGGGCGGATGTCCGCGCCCACCGCTAGCTCGTGGCCGCAGGACCTGCAAAGAATAAGTGTGTCGATGCTGGTTAGTTCTTCGGCTTCCGCAGCGCAGCCGGCGGCAGGCTGAAGAGCAGTGGAGCACAGCAGGAGCGGAATAAGGACCCAGAAGAGCTGCTTTAAAAAGAACAGAGATTGCTCCAGTGGCAGTTCTTTCCCCCACTGCTTCGCCATTATTATTATCGTCACAGCACATGAACGAACTCGCTAATGCTGTGTTAAGAAAGCGAACCCCCTATTTTTATAGCTCTCTAATAAAAAGTCGGTACGTACAGTTTATTTTACCACATACTATTAGTCAGGTAGTCAAATTTCACACCTCCTTAGAGTCATAACATTTGTGACAACTTTGGCTAACAGCTGCTAGATTAGCTCGCGTTAACATCCGGTTCTGGGAAGGCGGTCAAAGAAAAAGCGGAAGACGTCTATGTTTACTGTTTTAGGTTCAGCCGGAAACTTACCATACCCGTTTTACTTTGAAGGCTTTTGTGTTTTTCCCACAGTTAACCCCCAGCCCACCCCCCACGCACAAAAAAGTAACAAAGCACACCTTGAGAACATTTTGAAAAGCTAGGCTACTCAATTTATTTTTGCATTATAACGTAAACGTTAAATAAAGATTGTTTTCAAAACACTGTAATATTGTTTTGTTTTTTTATAAACTTAGGCGCTCCCTCTCTCCTATCCTTTCCACACGCACTCATGAAAGTAGCTTTTTAGTGCTTGTTATCGGTTGCCACAGTGACGATCGACCAAGCTAAACTTCACCAATTGGAAGGCTTCTTTTTTACAAACCAACCAATCAGCGAGAGCCGCTACAGTGTTCCTTCCGAGGACAGAGCTGCTGTTAATAACATCGAAGTTAGCCTGTTAGCACATTAGCACGTTACGTTTGGATCGCCATTTTCCGGGTTCAGATTGACCCGGACAAGGTTTAAATGTTGGTTTTTACTCCCACAGAAAATGATAAGCCGAGATTTGACGTCAGAAGCGGTGGTCCCTCCACCAATTCACGTCCACGTCCCAGAGACAACACCTGTCCATGTCCATATGAGGAGGAGTCCTGGCTACAGTGCACAGGTTTTACTGCTTAACACAACTTTATTATAGCTCTTAAACACATAGAAAAAAGACTCAAAATGACTTTCCTTCTGTTGTTTTTCCAGCAGATGAAGACGAATGGAGTTCAGGTAAAGGAAAATGGAGTAAAGCCGAAGGCCAGATCACCATGGATACCACCAGGAAGGCTGTCCTACAGAAGAGATATGGACTCCTACAAGAGTCAGGTCTGATTGTTGTTATGAGTCTTTTGTCTGTCACTCACAGACAGATAATCGTTTTAGGCTTAGGCTTACAAATGTCTGGAGTGCCAGTGTGTAGATGGAATCCAAAAGTATTTAATTAATTAAATACTTAATTCCATATATGTAAATTATTCAATTGTAGATCACACTTGCACCAGAATTAAGTTATGACTGTAGTCAAATAAAGACTGGTGTTTGACTGGATTTCAGTCATTTGTCTTTTTTTTTCTATCCACTAGAACAGTCCAACAGTAGATTATTCAGTGGCTGCCAAACAGAAAATGTACCCATTGAATTGCAAGGCTTATTATTTATATTTCTTGAGACATTGTAGGGCACACTCTCGTAAGTTCTGAAGAAAATAGGTGTGAGTGAGTGAGTGAGTGTCACAAAGGAATTTAAACCTTTGTGACACTCATTCACAAAGTCGAACTTGTTGATGTGTTGCCTCCGGATGGATTTGCGCACTATCCAGTGTTTAACTTGCCTTTGTCTGTCACTAGCTGGGCTTGTGCCTAAAATGATCAAACCATATAAGATAATTATGGGTAATTATCCAGGACTCCAAAGAAAAAAATTTTTTTTAATTCTGAGGCTGACATTATGCTACATCTGGGCTAAATTTGGGCAGTGGTGGCTTAGTGGTTAAGGAAGTGGACTTAGGTCTGGAAGGCTTCAGGTTCAAGTCCACCAGCTGCCAAATTACCACTGAGGTGCTCTGAGCATGTCCTCACTGCTCCCCTTAAAGCTGCCCACTGTTGGTCACATGTTGGTGATGGGTTAAAAGCAGAGGTCACATTTGGTTGTGTGCAGTGGTGTGTTGTGTCACAATGACAAGTAGTTCACTTTCACTTTCCTTTAAGGTTACTTACCAATGCCATACAAATTATATGGATACATACATACAATCCTTGCTGATTTTAGCTAATACAAACGGACTCACTGATAACTAAATATATATATATATATATGTGTGTGTGTGTGTGTGTGTGTGTGTGTGTGTGTGTGTGTCTTTGTTGGTTTAAGGATCAGAAAGTAAGAATGCAGCGTGGGTCAGACAATTCCGGCAGAGGTCATAAAGAAGAAGAGATGACAGAGACAAACCTCTGCCTTCTGCTCAGAGAACAGGAAGATAAAACGATACTGATGACGTAAGAAAACCCCAGTACAACCTTATTTGGCTAACTTTTAGCTGAATGGTTTGTCTTTTATATTTGTGTTTACCCTGCTCTGTTTCTTAGATGACTGTTGGTCAGTTTTGACTGTATATATAGAGTTTTTGCTAAACATTTAATATTTAGGTGGAGGGTTTTTGCAATACTGTTTAGCTTGACTTTCATTTTGTGACCTCTTAGTTATCTAATATATGTTTAACTTAAGGGTAAGTTTAGACCTATTAATCAGGCCTTTTTTGTTCTTGGTGTGTTTTATTTTAGCTTTAAAATTCGTATATATGGGTAACTGTAAGCTATTTTGTTAGCTTTACTTTGTCTGTGGGTTGACAACTGGGTGGCATTTCTAGTTCCCTCTGCTTCTTGTTTTTCTTAGGTCAGAAGCTCAGGATCCATACAGAGAGCCAGATGCCCTTCTGAGGGCTCTGGTGGAAGCAGAAATCGATGGCATGGCAGTAACTAATCAGCTTTCAGCATTAAAAGAAACTGTCAACAGTCTGACCAAGGTTAGAATCTCTTCACTTCTTAAACAACACATATGTTGGTTGAATTAACATAGAAGGACCTGTTTTATCTCTGGACTTTCATATATGTATGTTTTTTATATCTAGGAAAAACGATTTTCCAAGTGTCACACGACCCAAGTGAGTCGACAGCAAAAACTGCTGTTAGATAAGATAGAGATGTTTGACAGAACCAATCAAAACCTTCGACAACTGCTCAGAGACTGGAGTGAACAGCAGGTATTTATATTTGTTGTACCAGATTCTGGTCACTGCCAACAGGCCTAAGTCAGTTCTGGAACTAATAGTTCTGATTCTTGTTCTCATGTCCCCAGAAAGACTGGCTGCTGTCGTCACAACATAGAAACAGTCTTAAGAAGAAACTGACTGAAAGTGAAGCTGAGAACACTGTGAGTGACTAACTAGTAATTACATACCACTTGACAGGAAACTTAAGTTGAAGCATGCCACCTGCTGTTTCTTTCTCTCACAGCGTCTTCTGTCCAAACTCAACCACAAAGAAAAGGAGGCATACAAACTGGCACAGCACTTGGATTTTGAGAAGGTAATAACAAAGACACAAGGGCGTTGTCTTTTGCATTTTCTATCCTACAACCATGACAAATTAGTCAGTATAACCTGGCACAGGTTATACTGAAGATGTGAAACCCTCATTATCCTGCTTGTCTGTTGTCTCAGGACACTGTTAAAACAACTGAAGAACTTTCCAAAATCTTGGAGTCAACACGGGATCACCTGGAGTCTAAACTGCATAGAACTGAAGTTGAAAAGTCATGTCTGGCTGCCCAGATTAAGGTCTGTTAAAGTCTGGATTTGTTAAATGTTTCCAATGCTCAACCATAGAACAAAGACCACAGAGAAAATTATTTTCAACATCGCATAACACATGGAGTTTTTGGTCCACTGTTACCTAAACCACTAAGTTCAAACGTGTTTTGTCACTTCAGATTTTAAAATCCCTTCTTTAGCTCAGTGGCACTGATTGACCACAGGAGGCAGCACTAGACATGTAGTGAGGGCATTTTAAGGTGGAAGAATTAGTCTTCAGTAAGGTTAGAATAAGGATCATATTAGAATTGAGGTAAGAATTAACATTAGACTCATACTTGTCAGAGTTAAGGTTAGCCTAAGGTGCTGGAGAATATAATATGTCTATGTAAAGTGCTCATATAACACAACAATGTGCCTGTGTGTGCATATGTGCATACATGTGTGTGCAGAAGATGCATCAGGACCAGGAGCAGCAGCAGCAGGAGCTCCAGGCTCTGCAGGAGGAGCTCCTCACTCTCAGAAAGTGCAGAGACCAGGAGCATGAGAGAGAAAGTGAGCTAATTCGTCGTGCTGAAGAGACAAGCAGAGAACTGGCAGAAAAACTACACGAGAAGGTCAGAGGGAGGAATTTAATAAATATTTCATTGTAAATATATTATTATTTTCTGACAGAAAAAAACCCTGATATTTTTTATAGATTTTTAAACAGACAGGAATAAGTTAAATGTTTTTACTTTTTCTTTAGTATGTTATTGTAATTAATGTTACACTTAAATAAAACATGAACAGTCAAACTGTGAAGTAAACTATTCTGTGATTACAGGAAGGTGAACTGGCCAAAGCTCTGAGTTCTTCCAGTGACTGGTGTCTGCGTCACTCAAGAGAAGCTGCTGCTAAAGTCAAACTGGAGGAAGAAATTTCTACTCTTGCACTGTCAGTCAATATATACCTATAAATACATACAAACAAGCGTAACATAAGAATCTCTTTATAAAATATAAATAGCTGCAAGACCCCTTTCAACCTATGTTATTATAAATGTAAATTTTAAAACATCCATAAAATAATAATGATTTAAAGTATACATACATCAAGAATAGTTAGCAAAGAAGTACAATCAAAATTATATCTAGTTTAACATTAGTCCCAAAAATAACTAACAAAAAAAGATTAGCCAGGAGGTACTAAAAGTGAAAACATCCAAAAAAAAAGTTGGTTTAATAAAACTAGTCAGAAAAGGCAGAACAGAAAAAAGCTCCTTGACCAGAGTCTGATTCCAGAACTATTTAAGTGCTGCTTTAATACAGCGACTAATCGCATGGTTCCAGACTTTATTCTTCATCAAAGTCTTGCTTGACTCAGGACAGTCTGCTGTCAGTGTTCTGAGTTTCTTATCTCTGCTCCATTTTCAGCCAGGTGAGTGAAATGCGTGCGAAGATTCAAACCGCCGAGGAGAGGAGCAGAGCAGAGAGGGAGGAGCTCAGAGATCGGCTGCATCACCTGAGTGCCGAGAATGCCTCCACTACACTAGAGAACAACACACTCAAGGTGATGGGGGAACGAAAACCACAAAAATATCATTTCAGTTTTATGTTATATTTGAAGACCCTGCTCAAAATCTTGTGTAACTCACAGTTGTATCACATATCTTTTTTCACTGATCATATAGTGTTTAGATTACTAAACTAAACATTGTCTGTAAATTGAAGAGACTGGTTTCCTTGTTGTTCAGGCTGAGCTGACATCATCTCTGGAGAAGCTGCGGGGACTTCAATCTGAAGCTCGTGAGCTGAGGACATCTATCAGAAAGTATGAAAGTCTGGTGGAGAAATACAAGAATAAGGTGACAAATGACGTTTATTCAATAAGGTGTGAAGTGAAGCAAAGTTAGCAAAAAAAGCTTACTGTTGACCAAGATAATTCAAAATGCTCCTTAATTTATTTATTTTTATTATATTGAAGACATTAGACAGCAAATTGAAAAATTGAATTGCAAACTGAAGTGAGTTTTTGATCTTAATCCTTGTCAGAAAGTAATATGTGCAGCTAATGACATGTTTGGCTGTATAATAATGAGACATATTAACTATATACAGTATATTTACTCTTTTAGCTGCAGCAGAGTCGTTCGGATGCAGACAAACGCTGCAATGAGCTGCAGCAGAAGCAGCAGGAAGTGGAGGTGTTACAGGCTGGTCTAGACAAAGAGAGGGAGCAGGTGAGAAGAGAGATGTTCAATCGACTGCAGGAGCTGGAGATCATGCCAGACAAGCTAAGGAGGGTAGAGCTACAGCTCAGGCACTCCCAACAGGAGGCCGACGCCCACCAGAGGAGAAACCTGGAGCACAGCTCCACCCTTTCAGACCTTAGACACAAGGTATGAAGGAGGTGTTGAATAAAACAGTTACAACAGTATCTTCCTGACTCTACAGACTGATATAATGACTGATTAAAACTATGAGTTATATGGTTGTGAGGAAGTACAGGATCGAACAACTCCTGTTTACTTTGAGAAAACGGTTTATGACTCTTACTCTTTCTGTCATAACTGACTCTGTTATTGTTGATTGCTTGTTTAGTATTGCATGCCTTCTTGTACAGGTGGAACAGCAGGGTTCTCAGCTGGAGATGTCTCAGGAGCGGAACATGTTGCTTCAGGAGGACAACAAAGTCCTCAAAGAGAAAACACGTGACTTGGAACTGTAAGCTCTCCTTGAATGTTGAATTGTCCCTAGTACAGTTCTGACAAAATCTTACATGTTCCCCATAAACAGTACTGACACCTAGTGCATTGTGGTGTTTGGTTGCAGGAAGCTGGAGGAAATGAAGAAGGAAAACAGAGAAATGTCTCAGACTATGACGTCACAGGAATCCAGCATTCACAGTCTTCAGCAGCAGATGGAGGAGAGAAACCGTGAATGCAGTGTCCTGAACAGACAACTGCAACATGCTGTGGATGATGCTCAGAGACAGGTCTGCATTAAAATACAACATTATAACAAAACATCAATGCTTTAACATTTAATACCAAGACTAGTCCATCCATTTCATGTCACTTCTTTTCCCATTCTGTGTTGTAAATGGATTCCCACACCAAAGCCGATAGAAAAAATAAATTAGTTTAGCTCACAGAAACACAGGGTCATCTGGTCTACTGCTGCCTCATATGGTCATGTTTGTCTCAAAGACAAGGAATTCATACTCTGAAGTTACAATACAGTATATCACATTTGAATTTAGTTATGGAGACAGCAGTGGATCTACTGGATCAACTGCTCTGTCACAGCGAGCTAAAATCCCTGATTTTCTCTATAAATACTGTGTTGGAGAGTTAGTGTTTTGCAAACTTCACTTTCTTGTTGTTAAAGTCAGTCTGACAATGGGACACATGAGTGTATATGTTTTGAAGCTTTCAGAGAATTCTATTTCTTTACTGGTTCTGTAGATGGATGACAATGTGCAAAAAGTTTGGGCCAAAGAGCGAGTGTCTCAATCCAAGGCGCTGGACCTACAAAGTCAACTGAGCCGAGCCAAATCAGAATTGAGTCAACTTCAGAGAAGCAAAGAGGAGGTACTAGGTCTCATCTTACAGCTATTAAATTAACTACAATTGATTGATGTTAGATTGTTAAAGCTGAAAAAAATACATATTTTTCACCCTTTTTAAATTTTTGTTTTATTTTTACAGATGGAACGTCGATTCCAGAACCAGCTACAGAACATGAAGGAAAGACTGGAGCAGTCAGACTCTACAAACCGGACTCTTCAAAACTATGTCCAATTCCTGAAAGTTTCATATGGAAATGTGTTTGGAGACTCTTTAGTACAGAGCTGAAAATAGCTGACTACAGTGAGTTTGCACATGACCTGCTGATGATTTGAATGGGACAATTTTATATCACCTGTAAAGAAAAAAAATATGTTTTTACAATTTTTTTATTTATAGACAGGAGCAGTGTAGTGGAAATGTTTTAGAAGGAATGTTTTTTTTAATGTTTCTAAGATGAAAGCTACAAAACAGAATTATGAAACATTTTGATTTGCCCAATAAAAATATAACTTCTTTTAAAAAATGTTTTACTTGTTTTTAATCAGAAATTTTGTTCACTTGAATAGAAATCTCAAATTTATAGGATCTTTGCAAATTAATTTTAAAAATTGTTTTCAGATTTTTTGTAACTGGTCAATAAATCTACAATATGACTTACAGTAAGATGGTGAATATAACTGATTAAAAAAAATAACTTTTTCAGTAACTTTATAGGTGTGAAGCACTTAGTGCTGTTAGTAATACAACCATTAATTCATTTATTCTCATAATTGAATATACATAAATATGACATAAATAATTATCCATAATGACTAAAAGGACATACCAGCTTCACTTATGTAAACTTCTGTTTATTTTCCAATCAGGTTTTTAAATTTTGTTTCAATCTAAACTTCCAAACTTTTATTTAGTATTGATTCTATTCTTACCCCCAATGCTGTGTTCTGGAGATGTTTATTTGTGAAATAAAATAGTTAAGTCAGATCTAAAACCCTTGTGTTTTTATTTTGAATAAATTATTTTTCCTCCCTTGCATCAAGTTTCAGACTAAATAATTTGATTACTGTATTATTCGCTGCGATCTCCAGTAAATAAGTTGTAAGCTTTAAACGTGAACAATTTTAAGTTGTTTAAATAATAATAATAATAATAAACATACCCACAATGCCTTGCGCAAAATACCTCGCCATCCAAAATGGTGGCGGAAACGATGTTGTCGATGTGGTGAAGTTTTGTTTTGCTTGTTACGGCGTTTGAATTAAATTGTTTGAATAATTTAATTTGAGTTTCGAAATCTGACAGACGGTGTAAGACAACAGCTTTCTTAGTTGGACTGTTAGTGACAGTTTTTGCGTTTCTTCCGGTCGTTGTTTGCACGGAGCTGCTGTCATAGCCCGGTCACTGACATTTACAGGCAGAGACCCGGACAGGTTCAGTAAAGGCAGTTCGAGATGAAGGGTTCTGCTTCTCTGTCACTGCTCCACAGATTCTCCGCTCACCCGGATTCTCGCTGCTGGTTCGTCAGCTGGAATTCTTCTGGAACTCTCTTAGCTTCATGTGGAGGAGACAAAGTCATCAGAGTCTGGGGACGAGAAGGTCTGAAACCACGTCAAGATTACAAAGCGGAATTAGAAGTTATAAGATGACATGAGACGTACTTAACAACCAGAAGATAAACACTTTTTTAAAGAATCAAAGGTTTAGAAATATCAAATAAATGAATGATCATTTTACAAGTGAAATAGGTTTATTTTAGTCAAAATCTAGCAGGAAAACATTTTTTAAACAGGTGAGAAAAGAGTAAAACGTATGCCTAAGAAAACTTAAAGGTTGACGCGAAAGCCAAGGAATAGTAAAGCGTCAGGATAAATTGTCCTCTAATTGATGGACCCAGCCACTGTGTCATTCCAATGCTGGTCCCAAAAATGCACATATGGGTGAGGTTTGTGTCAGGAAATAAAATTGTACCATAACAATCATGTGAATAACAAAAATGACATCCACACTTGTACTGTTGACCAACAGGTTGCTGGAGGAAAGTCACACAGGTCACACAGACTTTGGTGTGAGATGAATATCAGCAGTGCTGTCTCAGATTTAAGTTGATCTTTAATTTGTTTGTTTCCTAGGAGACTCCTGGGTGTGTAAGAATGTTTTGGAAGACAGTCACCAAAGGACAGTCAGGAAAGTGGCCTGGTCTCCCTGTTCAAACTACTTGGCCTCGGCCAGCTTCGATGCCACCACCTGCATCTGGAAGAAGAAGATTGAAGGGTTTGAGGTTGGAAGAAAAATAATTAAATGCTTTCTTTACGCACTGCAAGTAGTTTTTGACTTCAAGATCTGATCTTGGTCCGGTTCTTTAGTCTCTGACCGTGTTGGAAGGACATGAAAATGAGGTGAAGTGTGTGTCCTGGGCTCCGTCAGGGAACTTGCTGGCCACCTGCAGCCGAGACAAGAGCGTGTGGATCTGGGAAGGTTTGTTGTTATTGTTACTACTGTTTTGACACATGTATGACACGTCTTCTATGTTTAGGATGCATGTCAAATTGTTATTGATTCCAAATTTTTTTTCCTAATCTTTTTGTTTTGTTTGTTTTGTGTTTACAAAAATCACCTTTAACAAACGGTTTAAATAATCTCTAAGGTGTCACAGTTTAATCATATTTGTATTTTGCAGTTTTTTACTTACACCCAATTAAAAAATAAATAAGTAAACATAATTTAACTTTTTATCAGAATCAGAAATACTATTATCAAGCCCCGGGCAGAAATTGTTAAAAAAAAATGCTAGAAATAATAAGAATTATAATCATAATCTGATTAATCTCACAAAATGCATAGAGATTAGAGAATAGAGGTTTGTTTTTACAGCTGTTGTTTAAAATAAACTTAATGAAATAAAGAAGTAACCAGCATTTGTTATGTTTAAATGCTAATACATTTATCACGAAGAAAAAGGTGGAATAACTTGGAAATATTTTTCTTGTATACTTCTACAAATATTGAAACGAAAAAAGACATTTTGTAATGTTGATAGATAAGACTTTATTTATCCCCCACTGGGGAAATTCAGTCATTACAGCAGCAGGATAGACATGTATTTGTTTTGCCAAACAGCAGGGTATGTGCAGTATTTACAAGGTGAGCTACAAATATCAAAGTGACAAAAGTTGTAGTGCACGTGGAACAAAATAAAAACTATTTACAGTGTAGCTATGTACAAGCTTGGTAAAAGTATTATGTATAATATTATGCTGGTTGGGAGAGACAACTTTAAACAAGTTTTAAACAAAAACTTGATTGATGATTTTTGTTTTTGTTTTTGTTTCTCCCAGTGGATGAAGAAGATGAGTACGAGTGTGTGACTGTGCTGAATTCTCACACTCAGGACGTCAAGCATGTGGTGTGGCATCCAACACAGGAGGTGAACAACACTCTGCTGAGACTGCATCAAAATTGTATAAAAACTTGTGATCTGTGTACTCTGACAATGTTTACACACTTTTCATGATTTACTACCCTTTGGCGGTTTAAGTATTTTCCTTAATATAATATGTATGACATTTGTCATACTTTTTCTACTGCCTACTGTATTATAATCATTGTTTATACCTTCTATACTCCTTACTCTACTACATTTCCTTTTTTATATATTCATATTTTTGACACCTTACCTTTGTCCCAGTATAGTACTATAGTAAGACCACATAGAGAATTATTAGTATAATTATTAGTACCAATCATTAATCCCCTAGGGAACTGTTCAAATTATTTAAAGAATCAATTATGATGTATACTTATTTTATTTATTCGTTTTAATAATTTGTCTTATTTTATTTGGCCACATATAAAACGTATCTATTATTCTGATTTGTTTATTTTATGTATTTTATGTTGTGTTTGTACCTTGTAAATGTTCCCCGACTGAGGACAACCTACTTTTGTATGTTTTACTACACAATGTCCTTATTTACGTTTTTGATGCTTTGAAGTAAGAACACATTTTTTGCGACCTTATTGTACTCTAACATCTCTCCAAGTTTTGATGCCTTCATTTTTATGTGACATGCTCACATATTTTTGATGTCTTGGATTTGGGTTTTTTTTTTCAGCTGTTAGCATCAGCAAGCTACGACAACAACATCTGTCTGTACAGAGAAGAGGACGATGACTGGGAGTGTCAGGTGACCTTAGAAGGACATTCATCCACCGTCTGGAGTCTGTCTTTTGACGCTTCAGGACACAGACTGGCATCCTGCAGTGACGACCGCACTGTCAAGATTTGGCAGGAGTTTCCACGAGACCAGGCTGGAACTGGTGAGGGGCTAAAATACTGCCACGATAAATGAAAAGAATCTATTTCTCTTTCTGTGAAGTAGACAGAGAAAGGTATATGTGGACATTTTTAACAATCTCACTATTTATTTATCTGGACATGCGTTCTTCTTTCTTCCTTTTTTAGGAGAATCATCTTGGAAGTGTGTTTGTACCTTATCTGGTTTCCATGGAAGGACAGTTTATGATGTTGACTGGTGAGAAGACTTAGTTTCACTGAACACAGACTTTCTTGAGTTTTTATTTAAACTCCACTCACAGTTAAGTGACTTCTTTAAATGAACACAGACTTCATGTCACAGGGCAGTGGTGGCTTAGTGGTTAAGGAAGCAGACTTGGGTCCGGAAGGTTTCAGGTTTGAGTCCACCAGCTGCCAAGTTACCACTGATGGCACTGTCCCCACACATTGCTCCCCCATTAAAAACAGAAGTCACATTTGGTTGTGTGCAGTGGTGTGCTGTGTCACAATGACAAGGAGTTCACTTTCCTTTCCTTTTTTTCACCAACTCTCTCAGCTGTCCTCTGACATTCGGCTTTTCATGATTTGGTAAATAGTTTTTCAAAACACTTGGATTTTTGCTTTTTGTTTTTTGTTAAAATAGCGTCTATAAAATTATAATATAGGTGTATATAGTCGACCTTTTTTTCTTCAGTAATTTTTCATTCTAATTTTTTTATTTGCTATTCCAGTCTGACTAGACTTTGTATTTACTTGCATTACTTAACTGTGACTTCTCTTCATGGACTCAGCCCGACTTTCAAAACCTCCTTATTTGAAATACATAGAGGCTATAGTTCTGTGTGGACTAAATCTGGTTAGATTTATTAGCTAATAGGGTCCATGATTTAAAACCAGTGTTATATTATAGTTGACTGAAATCGAAAACTACAAAAAAAGCTGTCTACATGTTGTCAGTAGTTGTGAGTCTGTAATCTGTTCCTGTGTTCAGGTGTAAAGTAACGGGTGCCCTGGCAACTGCCTGTGGAGATGACACAGTGAGAGTCTTTAAAGAGGACGAGTCGTCAGACCCCGACCAGCCCATCTTCTCCATGGTTGCTCAGGCGACCAAGGCCCACAGTCAGGATGTCAACTGTGCCGCCTGGAACCCAAAAGAGGCAGGACTTCTGGCCACATGCAGTGATGAAGGAGACATCGCCATATGGAAGTTTAAAGAAGAATGAGAACATGGTCAGCTGTCAACCTTATAACCAGGTGGTTCAGATGTTTTTCACCTACATGGTTTGTTTAAATGCCAGTTACCTGTTTAAAAGATAAGATATTGAAGATTTTTTTTCAACATTGATCCAGCTTATTCTACTGAGATCTTCTACTTTAATTAAGTCAATAACATGTTTTTGTCAGTGCAGTTTGCAGTTGTTTCTTTCCAAACTTTTTGTAGAAACCTGAACCATTGCATTAAGTAATGCAGCTCCTTTGTTGGCAAAGTAAAATAAAATAAAAAAACTTTAGAAACATGTTTTTTTTCTCTTTATTGCAAAAAACAATATCACAGCATATGTAAAAAATAATACCAGTCCATGAAATAGATTCAAGAAAAAGAGTTTTTTGTTTGTTTTTCTTGTGGACAGTAATAATTCTCACTCTTATGTTGTTGTAATGAACATTGCCTTGAAGTGGCCACTTGGTGTCCAGTCTTCTTAGGTTTGTCACTTAAGAGACCTTTCAGCCTAATTCAGCCTTAAACACAGTGTAGATGAAAACTTATATCATCTTAAATTATTAATCTGAAAAACAATGACATTTTTCTGAGACGTAACTCCACCGTTGCTGCACTGTATGTCAGCAACTCTGTGGATTTACTTCATCTACTGATTATTCACCTTTATTTAGCAACAAGATTACTGTTCTATGTTTATTTGGACTTAATAATGAAAAAAACAAACAAAAAACACCTAAACAGGAAGAATGTAGAAAGGGTAATGTTCCAACAGGAAGAGAGGGATATATACAGGGTTGGATGATCACATGATATTTATCAATCAGATTCATAGTCGCTGTCCTCTTTCACGTCCACACTGAACTTGTACTCCTGGTCACAGCCCATGTAGGCGTCACTCATGAAGTACAGAGTGTAATTGTGGACACCCATCACCGGGGCGACAAAGTCCAGCTTCACCTGTAGGTGGAGACAAAAAGTTTGTTCAATGAAAGTTGTAAATTTTTGCTGTTTCTTAAGACAGTTCAAGGACCAATTGGATGTGGTCCCTCCTAAAACTTTTTTTTTTTTAATACTGACCTTTGCTTTCTGCTGCAATGTCAATCTCTTGATGGAGATCAGACTGTTAGATTTAGGGTCTCCAATCACAACCCACCAGCCTTCCTCACGTTTCTGCACAGATTGAAAAACAATTGTTATTGACATGTGGGAGCTCATGGTTACAGCTAATGTTCCAAACAGTGGAAGCGTCATCCTTGTGAATAAAAGGCACATTGAAAAATTTACCTGAGGGAAGAGTGGAGCGATGACAGGTCCAGTGACCTCTTCCTCTCTCTCCAACTGAACCTGAACCAGAACCGGACTCCCACTGAACGCACACATGAAAACATCAGTAACTTAACTTAGAAATGACAGTAATCAGTTTCATCACTTGACAGAGAAAACGTTCAGAACCTTTTAATGTTGTCCTTTTCTGCCACTTCGTACGACAGCTCGATGTTGGGATAGCGGTTACAGAACCGTGCAACATCGGCAATCTGAGCATCTGAGAGTTGCAGCAGAGCACTTCTGTCTTCGTCCTCCATCTCCATGATGTCAAAGATGCTCTCCACTCCCTGGAAGAGAACAGCAGAAATTAAGATTAGATTAGTGAACTAAAAGTAAACAGGAGTGAGATTTTAGGATTAGGATGAAAACACAAGACTGACCTTCTCAGTGCAGCGTTTGATGTGCTCTGAGGTAAAGAATGGAAGCTGTTTGAGGTAAGAGTCCTTGGACCACATGGCTTGAGTGACCATCTGAGCCAGCTCCATGGCTGCCAGAGCAGGACTGAGCCAACCGTTACTGGACAGAACATCTACACAGGCCTGGATCAGTCTGATAGCCTGGAACAACAACACAATTGTTAGGTCAACAATAATGATTCTAACATCTTCAGAAAATAGTAATGCCAATACGTTAATCAATAGAAAAAGAACTCCATTTTTAGAAATGTTCTCTTGGTAGTAATGAAAAACAATTTTGACACTTGTTTTGCTTCTGAATGACAAACTTTTATCTTTCTCATTCAAATATATTACAGTCAAGAAAAAAAAAATTCAACTTTGGACACAGATTTCCTCAGCAAAACCTAACCAATAAGTAAAATTATATGACATCATAGCTAAGTGTCAAAATGGAAATTCCTATATCAACAAAACCATGTTCAAACCAATTAGCGAAGGACAACAATTAAATAGATACATTATGACAGTTTTTAAAGCAGGGGGCTCTGGTCGTATGTTATTGTATTTGAGCAGTGGCTCTGGTTCAGCAAAGTTTACTGAAAGGCCTTAGTTAGGGAACTATGGTTACAGCTGTTATGTTATGTAATTAACTAAGTATTACAAGAATCTGACATCTCACCACCTGATTCAACAAAGCCCTGTTGTTGGCATTTTAAACTGCAAACTTTTAATTGTAAATCATTAATTATGGATTTTACTAAAACATTAAAGAGACCTTTTCTAACATTAGACAAATGTGAGGTAAAAGAATGACTGTTGTGATCACATGGTGGGACAAGTCGAGTCCGTACCTTGCTCAGAATCCCCTCAGTGTCAGACTGCAGCTCTGCACTCAGCTGCATTCTGGACAGATGAGCCTGCAGCAGCAGATTGGTCTTCACATGAGGGTCGTTGAACTTTGGATTGTTCAGTTTGTGGGGAACCTTCTGTGCCAACTGTGAGGAAACAAATTTAGCAAACAAATAAAAAATGTTATCACAATGGTATGAAAACAAAGAGACACTTCTTGTTGGAAATATCGTGATCGGAATCTTGATGTTACTCCATAGCTATAGTTAATCGGGTGTACCTGTCGCAGAAGTGCGTCCTCGTGGTGTCTGATGGGAATGTACTTGTACTCAGCAGCATTAGAGATGATCTCGATCAGTCCTCTGATCTTTGTCTTGGCGTTCAGCGACATACTGAACAACTCTGTAAAAGCACACAGAAGTAATGTGAGTGAGGCTCAGACGTCAAGGAGGGTTTATAAATGTAAATCAGACAGAATGAGCTCAGACCGATGGTGGTGTAGTTGATGTAATAATAGGCAGCGATCATTCCTAGATTGAGCGGTGCAACATCCATCTCATCCTCAATGCTGATGCACTTGGACTGCTCCAGGTCATGAAGAGTATTTTCCACCAGCTCAGACAGATGATCCGACAGGTGACGGTGAGACATTCCTGATAAAGAAAAAAACAAAATCGGATATAAATATAAATATTTATGTAAAATACTGAGTTAGTTCTAATAAAAAATGCCTGAAATCACCATTTCATAATTGGTTGATTTATGAATGTATGCTATAAATCCAGAGAAACATTAATGGTTTATATATTTATCTACATGTGACCCTTCTCCCTCTCTCCTACCTTGCAGGTTGTAGTAGTTTGGGTTCTGGGTCATACGGCGGTAGAGGAAGGTCCAGGTCAGGTAGTCCACAGCGTCCTGTTTATTCTCCACCGTTTTAGTAACAATCTCAGCATTGAAGTGGTCGTGGAGGCAGTGGTCCAGGTGAGACTCTACAGGCAGAGGCTCATACAGGAACTTCTTGAAGAAGTCCTGACAGAAGAACAAAAAATATTGTTTGCTTGAAAAGTGTCATTGTATTGTTAAAAAAAACAACTGAGAAGAACAGAGATTGTGTGGGGAACACTTACCTTCTTGGATCCCTGACACATGATTACACAGCGTCCCTCGTCATCCAGCATGGGTCTGTTTGCTTTACCCACCATCTGCAGGACGTCATAGATGGGATAGTCCACGTATCTGAGAGAAGCAGCAGCAGAACATTTACTAATTATACAATCACAAAGATGAAAAAGGAGTAAACAGTCTCAGTTGGAGCCTTACGCATGGATTTTTCCATTGTAGTACTGAGTGTCCATGATGATGACCAGGTGAGCTGAGATGTTGATGCCCCAACAGAGAGAACGAGAGGCCACCACCACTTGAACAGCTCCTGTCACCATCAGCAGGAGAAAAAACATCAGTCAGAATATAACAGATTTATTATTAAACCTAAAAAATTCTTAGCAATGAATGGAATATATGTTACAACTTTTTATATAATAGAGGTTCTTTTTCATCTGCTTTCAAACGTTATAAATGTTAGAAACATCTAAACTTTTATACTAACATTTTGAAAAACATCCACAACAACCAAAACAAAAAAACTAAATGTTTTAATGTAAATAATAGAAACCCATCACACCTAAAATCTATGATGATCAACAAGCTGCTGCAGTATGGATCAAGAATTGGAGGGTAGAGTGTTTTCTGCATACCTGAGTTAAAGAGCTGTTCCACTATTTTCCGTTCTGTGACAGACAGACCCTCATGAAGGTAGCCCACGCCGTTTGCCAGAGTCTCTTTCAAAGTAGGATCTTTAATTTTCTCCAGGAATGGAGCCAAGTCCTTCTCTGTGCAGTGAAGGAATCTACAGGGAAAAACAGACCGTTTAAAGTCTACTGCTGACGATAAAAAACAGAATCAGTGGGACTTATTTTCAAAGTAAAGTGTAGGTGGCGCTGCAATGACAGACCTCTGAGTGTCAACTTCAGCGGTGCAGAAGGTGAGGATGTCGATGGCTGTGAGTCGAGTCTGTCGTCTGGATGGGACAAAGACCACGGCAGGTTTGGATGGCGAGTGTTTGATGATGGCGTGATAAACTGGTTTAGCCATGGACAGGAGACGAGTCTGAGTGTGGCTCACATTGAAGCCCTAAACCCAAGAAATAAATCACCAATTGTCATAACATAGCAAAAGCCTGTATTTTTGGAGAGATGTAAACAATGTTAAAGCACTGGAATGAGAAAATCTCACCACCAATCACTGAAAATGTAGTGGTTGCATTTTAGTTAAGTCAGTAATTAAGTAAGTAATAAAAATGTTTTGTCCACTGTGGTTTACAATCCCTGTTTTGAACTTCTGCCCTTAAAGATTTTATTTTCAGCGTTCGTGACAGACCTGGATGTGCAGTTCCAGAGGAACAGGTCTGACATTGGGGTGGAAGTTGAATGTAGCCGTGGTGCTGCAGCCCAGCCAGTGGGCCACATCTTTGGCGTTTGACAGGGATGAGCTCAGGGCCACGATTCTAATGGGTCGTTCAATTTGAGACGAAATGTATCTCATCCTAGAGCAGATGACCTCCAACACAGGCTGAAGACATGAACACAGAAATGTTAACATACTGAAGGTCCCTAAAATAAAGACACACAGTGTAACAGTGCTGAGTTCTTACTCCATTCTC